CAGTCGAGCATCGGGGTGGCCCTCACACAACCTCTGCCTGCCTTGCCACGTGCTGACTTACGTGAACCAGACAACTTACCTAAGCTCTGTGCCTTCATTTACTCATCTGTAATATGGCCACGATGACGGGAGTTACCTCATGGGCTTGTTGGAAGGATTATATGACATTCTATACGTGGTGAGTGTAGGACTGCGTGGGGCTCATGAAAACAGGTTTGCAAGCATCGTATGAGTTCATGCAGCTGCAGCTACTGCCACTATGGTTACTACTGGAGGAACAGCTTCCAGACACTGTGAGGCCTGAGAAACGTGTTAGTGGGAAAAGAGATGGCAGAGCACCAAGAGAGAGCTGGGCCGGGCTGGAGACAGCGGGTGCGGTGGGCGCGCAGCAAGCAAGGTGGAGAGCTGTGGAAAGATGCTGGGGTGGGCCTGAGAGGGGCCCTGGGCATCGCGCTTGGAAGATATGCACTTGATCTAGAGAACAGTGGGCGCTCGATGCTCCTGGGCTCTGCTGAGTTGCTGTGCGTGCATGCGTGTGAGAGTATGCATGTGTGGATGAGTGTGCACACACATGTATGAGTTTGAATGCATGTATGTGTGTCTGCACACACAAGTGGGCTTCAGGCTGCCCAGTGCCGACCCCCTTGTAGGATCCACTGGACAACTCATTCACTCCATGATTTAGGGACCTTAGCCTTTTCCCCAGCGTCCAGTTGGTTCCAAGTCCTTCGCCTGATATTGTGCCAGGTTCGCACCCTAACTTGGCACACCTCCCGCCATCCCACCTCGGGGCCCATCCTTGGCTGTGGAAACACCAGCCCTCCCCACTTCCGGAGCATTGGAAGACCCCACCTTTGCCATGCTGGTGACCCCTGGATGGCCTTTGTGCTAGCTCCACCGCACTGTCCCTGCCATCCCAAGGCTTGGGTCCTCTCAGAGTTCCGCTGCAGCACAGGGTTAGGGCAGCAGTGCCAGGTGCCCTTGTGCTGGATCCTGGCTCTGGCACTGGTATCCTCACTGCTTACCCTCTCAGCCTAGGTTTTCTCCTCTGCACAACAGGGAGAATGGCCATGCCCACTGCCAGGGCTTGGGGGGCAGGGCATGAAAGGAGATAATGCACCCCATGCATGGGCACACGGGCCTTGCTTGGTTCCCTCACCCAAAGTCAAGCTCCCCCACCTTCCTGAATACTCAAATGTGCCTGGCACTGTGCTGTACACTGGGGTGACAGTGTGGCACAAGCCAGGCCCTGGCAACCTGGAGTTCACAGACCACTTTGGGGTGCAGGGGGCTGGGAAGGAGATATAAAATGACTACACCTATCTATACAACACCTATCTATCTATATCTATACAACATCTATCTATACAACACCTCCCCATAGTTCCTGGGCACCGTAGGTCCTCATGTTAGAGGAGCCATGTGTTTACTGATCGTACACAAATTGGGGCCAGCCACTTTCGTATTTAATTCATCCACTTGCTATTTTAATGCCCCAGCAATCCTCTGACTGCATGAGGTGCATGGAGCCAAATATCCAGGTGAGGAAGCTGAGCCCAGAGAGGCTGTGATTGGCCCAAGACCCCACAGCCTAGTCAGTGACAGAAGCTGGGTGCCAAACCCAAGTCTGCCTCCAATCAGCACCCATGCTCTTTCTGGTAGGCCAGGGAGATCTGGGGTGGGGGCACTGACCAGGAAAGATGCTGGGAGGATGCTGCTTTGAGAACTGTCCCCCCAAAGGCTGTGGCACTGATGCATCTCGAGTCATGCGAGCCTGCCTGCCGCCGAGAGGCCATCAGCCAGTCTCTTTCCCTCTCATGCGCTTCCAGCTTCACACTCTGCTGGGCAACATCACTTCTGCTGATCATGGCCAAATGGCTGATGGTAATTAATTCAATTTGCTCAGCAAGGGAAGTGAAGACATGGCTGGTAGTAATGATCTGAAGGCAGCGTGTAATTTATGCTAACTGGAGGCAGAACCAAGCCGTCTCCTTTCAGGGATGAATCGCTTTGATTGATAAGACCACGTCACTCCAGGTAAGGAGCTGGGATGGTAGTTTGTGCACGGGTTGGGGAAAGATGACCAAAAAAGGGAGCAAAATGAAGACAGCACAGAGGATGACAGCTTTTCAAAGGCCTCTTTTTGAGGAGGAGATTTAGAGGGCAAGGAGGAGCTTGGGGTAGCCCCGACAGCTAGATACACGAGAGAGGTCACCCAAGCCTTCCAGGGACTCAGACGAACAGGTCCAGAGAGAAAGAGAATCACCTGGCTCATCAGAGAGCTTTGAGAACTGCTCTTGGGGAAGTGGTTTTGCAGCGATCAATAATAAGCTCCAGAATGCTAGTGAGTGTGATATAAGCAGAGGTTTTGAATGTGCATGGCTGGTCTGCTGGGCTCGGGCACCCTAGTATCTACCATAAGCAGAGCATATCCTGGGTAGCTGATGCCACTCCAACCAGAACAAATACTCATGGAGCAGATCGGAGCCTGGCCTACAGCCTGGAGCCAACCCTGCCAACTTCATAGCAGAAATACAGCCATCTTAGATCAACTGAACCACAGCCAATGGATCCTGAGCATAAACATATTTGTTGTTGCACTCCTCTGAGTTTTGGGGGGTGTTTTGTTACGCAGCACCTCTGTGGTCATAGCTGATTGATACACCTATTCTTCCTCTTTATAGCCCACATTTTTTTCTGGTACCAGGGATTGAACTTGGGACCTTGCACTTGTGAGGCAGGTGGTGGAACCACTGAGCTAAATTCCAGGCCCTAGCCCATATGTTTTTTATAGTAAAAGTCCTATGTGCTACTGTGTAAAAGGTCTTGCCCCCATTTTTTCCTGAGAGATTCTGACAGTGTAGTTATTAATTTGCGCAAAGTAGTGGCACTGAAGAAATGGTATTATGCAGTGGTGTCAATAATGTGATTGTAACTTGAGTCATTTACAAAGGGGGTTAAGAGCTGAGGACAGGGAGACACTGAGGATCAGGGGATTCCTCCCAACAGGGCAGAGTAGCCCAGGTGGATTACCTGGAGGAGCTGGTGCAGGACAAGGGAGAGGATGACTCATTAAAGTGCTTTACCTTTGGTGATGGCTGGGAGGGAAAGAACGTCTACAGACAGAAAAGGTCCAGTGCTGTCCACTTTACCCAGGTTCAGCCCTGCTTCCTTGGTGGCTTTTATTTGACTTCTGATTCCAGTCTCAATTTTCCTGGTAAGCATAGTCCAGAGGTCTCCAGGACCCTATCCCATGGTGCTCCCAGGTTACCCAGAGCCATTGGAAATGGGACAAAGATGACTCCCAACTGCTGTCACTGACATGGATAAAACCAGGGCAAGGAGGAGGCTGCTGAAAGCTACGAAGATGGGGGAAAGGAGGGTGTATGGAGAATGGAGGGGCCCAGGGCAGAGCACAGACTGGCAGTTTGGTCCTTCTATAGTTGATGCCATGCATGGTGTGAACATCCTGCCTTGTAGCTAGGAGAGCTGCTCGTGTCCATAGTCCATGCTGACATTGGGGAGATGCTTTGGTATAAGATAAAGAGCAAGAATGACCCATGGTCTGAAGCTCCAGGCCTCTCCCATGCCATCTTGCAAAGCCAGTGCTGAAAATAACGCCTGACTGTCCAGTTTCTTCAAGTCTGGGGGCAGCAGGCATTCCCATCCCTCTGCTTGCTAGCAGGGGGGCTTCAATTGTAACCCCTGCTTGGACTGCCCAAGGAGGAGGTGGCTGCAGGTCAGCAAAAACTTTGATGGGCAAAAGCTGTACCATGACACTCTTGTGCTGCCTCTGGTTAGCCATGGGTTTGAAGATTGGCACAAGTACTCTATGGAACACCTCACTTGCTTCTCAAAACAACTCCATAGAGTGGGATGGTCAACTCTGTAAGTGGGGAAACCAAGGCACAGAGAGGCCCTGGGTAAAGTCACAGGCAAGAGCTCTCTCTGGCTGTCACTCCAGCCCCTTCTTGCTCATCACCTCTGCTCTCTAGCCTGGAGCTCCTCTATTTTCCTTTCTCTTGCTTCTGGGTCCTGTGGCTGTGAGATGCCACCCCTCCCTGACAGCGTGTCCAGAGCTGGCACCCTCCCTGAAGCCTGTACCCACTGAGGCCAGCAGTAGGGTCCTTGAGCTCCCTGCTTCCCTGGCACAGAAGGGATGACATCAAGGGCGTGGCACACTCCTACCAGTGTCTGGCCTCCCGGGAGATTTACCCACCCAGAACTTGTGAATGAGAACTTTTCTTAAAAAAAGACATTCACCGATATAATAAGGACCTTGAGATGAGGTCATCCTGGATTTGAGTGGGCCCTAAAGCCAATGACAATGACACTGTCCTTACAAGAGAACAGGGATGGTGATGCCACAGGAAGATGGAAGCAGACACTGAAAGCATCTACAAGTCAAGGAGCACTGAGGAACACCAAGGAACACTGGCAGCCACTAGGAGCTTAAGTGACAAGGCAGGAGCCTGCTCCAGAGCCTTCAGAGGGAACATGGTCCTGCTGATACCTTGATTTTGGACTTCTTGTTCCCTTTCCTCCCACTCAAGACCATGCATCAGGACAAAAGGGCCAATGTCATTATTGAGAGACTGTCATTTATCCACTCTAATTTTTGTATAGAAAAAAATGAAATAATTCTCCAAACAGCTTTCCTGTTTTTTTCCTCCTATTTTACAACCATTAACTTTTTTTTTTTTTTTTTTTTGGTACCAGGGATCGAACTCAGGTCCTTGTGCTTGCAAGGCAAGTGACGTACAACCATTAACTTTTTGTTTTTTGGTACAAGGGATAGAACTTGGGACCTTGAGCTTGCAAGGCAGGCAGTGGAACCACTGAGCTACATCCCCAGTCCTACAACCATTAACTTTTAACTATTATTTCTAAGCACGAGGAATACATTTTGCAAAGGTCATGACCCCAGCCAGGTTCAGAACCTGCGGCCTGGGGGACCAACTTGGGAATGGCTTTCATCTGTGACAACGAGTCAGACTCACCTTTCTCCTGGGCCATCTCTTGCAGACAGAAGTAGATGACTCTGGCTCCCAGGCTGAAGCCAATCAAGGTGACAGGTCGCCGGCCCTGGGGGGAAAAGACACAGGTATTTGGAGGGGACACAGTTCTCACACACCATCAGCCCTGACAGGGCAGCCTTTGTACATTCTTAGTGCCAGCTCCTCCTCTAACAAATCATGCCACTCTGGTCCCCAGTTCTGAGGTTTTCATCAGCAGTCAGGGCCCTCATTTATGCAGAAGTGCACCTGCCGCTCCAAGTGGCTTCCACCAAGGCCATCAGGGATCCTCTGGCTGGGTTAATTCCCTTTCATCTCAAATCATTACCAGTCACCAACTCTTCCTCCCTGGGAGACAGGACCAGTCAATTACAAGAGCTCCTTCCCTTGGACTCCTCTGCCTGTGGCAAATGACTGCAGCGATGTAGGACCCCTCTGGGGAAGGGGAGGTTAGACAGAAGGTACCCCCAGATGTGACAGGTAAAAAAGCAAGGAGTGACATGGGAGGGACAGCTGTTCTGTTTTTAGAGTGGAAGGCGGGGCATAAATGACAAGATAAGGTAGGAATACAGAGATTAAGAGGAATCTTTAGACTCATAATCTGTAGAAAAGGATGGTTATCAGGCGAAGGCTCTAAAGAAAAAGAAAGTTATCTGGGGTACCTGGGGGCCAGTTCCACACAGAAGGAGAAGGAGGAGCAGGTGAGCTCCTAGGAGCCCTCTGGTTTTACCAGTCTGTTCCTTTCCTTGCTTTTCCACCAATTCATGTATTCCACTCCCTCTGCTTCATTTATTATATAACAGAAAATCCTCCATTAAATAGCATTTGAACCCTGTAGGAATCTTGTGGCAAAAACTGGTAGTCATTTCCTGATGCCCTTCCTTCCCTCCATCCTTTGGTACTAGAACAACTAAGTTTTCCTGGACACACCACTACCCAGACAAAGACTCAGTTTTTGCCTTTGTAGCTGGGGACAGCCACAGGGCTGAGTCCTTGCTAAGGGACTGAAGATAAGAGATAGCTGTGACTTTTAGACATGGCCTTCATTTCTACTTCCCTACCTCTGAAAGTCTGGCATGTGCATACAGACCACAGAGAGAACCAAGTGTGCTGGATGCAAGGCCACCAGATGAAGCAGTCTGGGCTCCGTGGGAGACAGAATAAAGGCCTCTGCCAGGGTGTCCACCCTTGGGATCTGCATATGAAACCTGCTAAGGAAGACACTCTTTGCAAGAAGATCAATTTAAGGATCTTGAAATGGCAAGATGACCCTGGATGTCTGGGTGGGCCCACTGCCATCACACGTGTCCTAATAAGAGGGATGCAGGGGGAGTCAGTTAGACAGAAGGCAGTGTGAAAAGGAAAGCAGAGGGACAGAGAGAAAGAGATGAAGGTGCTACTGATGCTGCTGGCTTTGAAGATGCAAGAGGGGGCTGCCAGCCAAAGGACGAAAGTGGCCTTTGGAAATCAGGAAAGCCAGGGAAATGGATGCTCCTGGGGCATCTTCTAGGAAAGCAGCCCTGTGGGTATATTTTGGATTGCTGCCTCCAGAGCTGTGAGATAATACCAGTACCCTATGTGTTTTGTTACAATGAATACACATGAAATGAATATATTCTTTGCCTTACAGCCAAACCTGCCAAAAGACTTCTCCTTCTTTTTTATTTTTTGGCAAAGATCCCTGTACAGGACTTGGATAGAGTTACCAGTTTCTTGAGCAAGGTACCACAATGGCAGAAACTGCCAGCTGTCTCTCGATATCTGCTGATCCTTTTGTGCATAGTAATTGAATTTCAGCTGGCTTCACTGCCACTCAGAAAGAGAACTGTATCTCCCAGCTTCTGTGGCAGCTAGCAATGGTCACGTGACTGGGCTCTGGCCAGCAGACAGACATGCTATGGGGCCTTTGCTCTCTCCTTTGGTTCTTGCTTTCTCCTGCTACCTGGAATCCAGACACCGCCATCTGGAGCAGGAGGTCAGGGCCATAAGCAGCAGAGCAGAGAGGAGACATGAACCTGGGGCTCCCACCACAGCATACCACCATGTGCCTGTCACCCAGGCTTTTCTAGGAAAAATAAACTTCTATCTTGTTTAAGCCACTATTATTTTGGGTTTTCTCCCACTTGCAGCCCAAAGCAATCCTAACAATATAGCCATCTCTGATACTATCTCTCACATGTTTGTTTCCATTTACTCAAGCTTATTTATTTATTGCAGCACTGGGGATTGAACCCAGGGCCTTTGCACTGAGCTGCATCCCCAGCCCCCTTTATTTTTTATTTTTAAATTTTGAGACAGGGATCACTTCTTGGCCTTTTAGCTAAGATCAAGTGTAATTTTGAGACAGGGTCTCTGTACGTTGCTAAGTTGCCCAGGCTGCACTTAAACTTTCGATCCTCCTGCTTCAGCCTCCCAGAGTGCTGGTGTTATAGGTGTGCACTGCCACCCCGGGCTACTCAAGCTCATTTTGAAGGAGATAGTTTTTATTTTCTTTGTAAGTCCATCTTACCGGATTCACAATTTAAAAATATTATGAAGATTTCTCTTCCTATTTTCCAGAATCTCTGGACCATTGAAGATGACAACTTCATATGTCTGGGAAGAAACACCTGGCCCCAGTGTGTGGGAATCCATCCAAGGTGTCTGTGCGGTCTCCTTTGCCTCCCTGGCTTCACTGCTGACTGAATTAGAGGTTCCGAATGAGCCTAGCTATTGGTAAACTTTTTGTTTTTCAGTATGGGTAATTGAACCCAGGGTCTCCCACATGTTAGTTTAGCACGCTATCACTAAGCTATACCCTCAGCCTTTAAAATTTTTATTTTGAAATAAGACTTGCTAAATTGGCCGGGCTGGCCATGAACTTACAGTCCTTCGGTCTCGGCCTCCAGAGTAGATGGGATTACAGGTGTGCACCATCCCGAACTCTTTAGTTAAAGCTACTACACAGGAGCCACTTTCATTTCTGCTCAATACCCTCAGCCTGTCCATGGCTGCAGATGGCCCTGTGTTCAGTCTTCATCTAATTGCCAGCCAGAGATTGCGGTCTGCAGGTTTCACTGGTCCATCCTAGGACACCTGCATGGCTTTCCCTGGAGGGCAGAGACCACCGACCCCACCAAGGCCAGCAGGCTCCCAAGTGAACTTGCTGCTGGAACTTCCATGCTTGCTCGAGTCAGGCCCTTGCTTCACCTCTCAACCATGCCATTCCCAGTACCTGCTGCCGAGAGAGCAGGATATGAGCCAGGTGCTTGCCAACCTCTGCGGACCGATGGAGACACACCCCCCAGGGGTTGTCGATGACGCTGGCGACACTGAGGAGTGAGGCTGGCCAGGTCAGGGCGGCCACGATGCCTGAGGAAGTGGAACATGAGAGATGAAAGGGAGTCTTTCTAGGACGGTGATTTGCTTGTGATGTACAAGTGAATGCACGCAGTCTCTATCTTACACCTGCACATTTCCCAGTGTTGTCAAACTCCTCCCATTGCTACGGGCTTGCCTGCTGACCCCAGGAGGAGACACACAGAGCATAGCCAAGGTCAGGCTAGCTACTGTCCTTCAACAATTGGCTGACTCACAGATCCATAAGCAGCCCTGCTGAGATCAGTCCGCCCCTGCCTCTCCACTCCCAAGCCTTTGTAACAAATGATTATTACCCTGGGCCACTGTGTTTGGGGGCAGCTTGTCAAACAGCAGCAGCAGCAGCAGCAGCAGTGAATGGATACACTATGTGATTGGCTGTGGACCAGTCTCTCACAAAGACCACAGCCTTTCCACAGACAGGAACATAGTCTTCACCTCTAGCTTGGTGCCTGGCTTCCTGGGGGTAGTGGGCACACAAGAAAAGGCTTACCAGACAGCACCGTGTACTTGAGGGCCTCCTGGGCCACCATGTTGGCGAGGCCACTGAGGATCGTTTCCAGGGCATTGCCGAGCTCCATCAGGTACTTGGCTTCCCAGGCCAGGCAGTACTGCTCTTGGCTGCGGGCCAGGGCCGCCCACGGGGCATTGAAGGTGCCTGGGGAGAAGACAGGCAGGTGTATCTATGGCAGAGGGTGCCCCACCCCACTATAGCAGACAGTCAGTAATGGGGGTCTGCTCAAACGAGCGGGGAAGACAAGAGGCATTAGCAGAGGTAGAGGAAATCCCAACTCCTGCCTCCTAAGCAGTTAGCCGGGTGACCTTGGGAACATCATTATCTAGGAAGACCTTGAGCCTCACTTTGCTTAGCTGTGAAGTGGGTAGTTGTGAGACTGGAGTGTGTGAACTACTGTGTGTATGAAGCACGAATTCTGGCATTAAACTGCTGATGTCAAATGGGATCAGAAGCATGGCTCTGGTCCCATTGCACGGCACCTTGATTCAACAAACACTGACTAGAAAATAGCTAGAAATCAGGGAAGAGTGACTTGAGCCCAGCTTGGCTGAGTCAGTCCATTTTTCTGAGCCTCAATTTCCTTCCCTGGGAAAATGGACCTGAAAAATGATGACGTGGGAGGGGTGATGAGACAGCGGCACCACAGCAGCCAGCATCAAGCAGGAAAGCATAAGTCTGCCCACCTCCCTGCTTCCCTTCTTGTTGCCCGCAGCCTTCAGGATATGGGTGCAGAGGAGCACTGGTCCCGCCCTCATTGGTTTCTGCCTGTGGCAAGGGACACAAACTCTTCACTAGCTCCTGGGCCTCACATGAGCCCCCCTGGTTCACTCCCACTTGACCTTGAAGCTCTTCTGATCACTCTTCTGCATAGCAAAGCCTTCCCAGCCCCTCTGACATATCAATGTGCCTGCACTTTGCCTGTAAGTTCGTGCTGCAGGCTGGAATCCCACATTCATTTCTGCATCTGGTGTTGAGCATAGGCCTCCGATACCCATCTGGGCCAAGCAGCACACTCCCAAAGCCAGGCAGCGGGGGCACGGTAAGCGCTCAGAGAAGCAGCACCAGTGAAGGAAGGCAAGAGCTGCCTCCCCAGAGCCTTTGGGTTCTGAGCATCAGCTTCCCACCCCAGCCTGCCTGAGCCAAACGCCTCACCCTGATGTGCAGGGTGCTCTGTGGACACAGAGGTGGCCCTGCAGCTGCTCCTTCCCTCTACCAAGACCTCATCTGGCTCTGCAGCAACTCAGGGGTCACTTGTCTCTGATTAAGGACAAAGTGACAGTCATCTTGAGAAACTCGACGGGTGCGGCCAGCAGGGGCAGCACAGTCTTGATGTGCTGCAGACTCAGGGCTCTGGCCCCAGTGTGCAGTTTCCAGCAACTGTGGAGAGATTGCATAAAAAGTGAACTGTAAAGTATGCACTGCACTGTGCTGCTCAATGACCATGAGTATGAGCTGTGGAACCAGACAGAACAGGGCTGAATCCTATCCTCACTAGCTGGGTAACCAACCTGGGGAGCCCTTATGAGCTTTGGTGTTCTCTTCTGTAAAGTGTGGGTGCTACTTCGGCTAGGAGTGTGGAGGGAAGGGAGCCAGTGCAAACGCAGGGCTGGAGTTAGTGCTGGGCTCAGGGCAAGAGGTTAGCTACAAAGCTGCTGTCATGATTATACACAATCATGATTAATGGGCCAAGGAAAGGCCATTGATCCCTACCACGGGCAAGCAAGTCTGTGAGGTCAAGAAGGCTCTCAGCAGAAAGAAATGGGTGATTTTTTCCCTCCTTCCTGAAGTGTCTTTAGCTTGGCTTATTTCATAAACTACTCCTCTGCCTGGGTCCCACGCTCAACTACACTCATGAAAGAGAAAAATGAAGATGGTTTTCTTTCCCCATAGTGAACTTGGCCTTCAGCTGGGCAAAGAGGGATAAAACGAAGCCAACGGATTTGCTTTTCATACTGGTCAAAATCTCAAATTCCTTTACCTAGATTTTTGTTCACATTCCTTCCCTTCTGCATCATGGCGAAGTGAAAACAGGTGTACAAAAAGCCTGAGCTACGGGTCAGGAGAGTTGGGTTTGAATCCTGCACCTGCTCCCCGGCCCTTCTGCTTCCTCTTCCGACAGATCAGGATCAGAACAGTCCCCAACTTATTGAGTGGAGGTAGGGGTTACATGAGGTATGCACATCCTGTTCCTAATGTGCAGGTAAAATGCCTCACTCAGGTGAGGCATGAACCAGGAGCTTAGTTAGCATGAGAGACCACAGGGCGGGGGCTGGCAGGCACACACCACTCAGACTGGCACCTGGTAACACTTTACCCCTTTACTCCCTTGCTCTCTTCTGCATGATTTAGAAGAGCTGAGGCCTCCCCGCTTGTACCTCAGAGACTTGCTCTCAGCAATTCCCTGGGCTGCCCTGCCTTCTTACTAGGCCACATCTGTTTGCTCAGCTTCGTGGTGGATACCTGCAAAGGTGAGCCAGGCAGTGAGTGGACCAGGGTGTAAGTCCTCCCAGCCACCCTGGTTAGGAGCCTCCAAAGCAGGCAGGAAGGGGCACTAATGTTTGTGAAATACCAGCCAGAAACCAGGTGCCTGCCAAGAGTCATCTAATTTAGTTGGATCTTTGTAGCAACCCTAAAAGGCAGGAATAGTCTGTTCCTCTTGACAAATGAAGTCATTGAGGTAAAGGAAGCTAAGTGACTTGCTTGAAGTCACATGGCCATAGTGGCATGATCTCTCACCCATGAGCTTAAAGCCCTTTGCTACATTTCACTTGCTCTGAGGACAAATTCAAACCACAGCTCACATGCTCCTGTACAGTGTGGCTCTGCCCACAATCCTGCTTTCTGGCTCCCTGCTGCAGCTGTCCTATGCTCTTTTTGGTTCTTTAGTACTGATGGACTTTGCACATGCTTCTCTTTGGTTGGTATACATTTTTTGCTTCTTCTTTACTCTCTTTAACTTCAAGCCAGACCTTAGTCTAAATGTCACTTCCTCCAGGAGCCTTCCCCATAAACGCCTTGTGTTTCTCCTATTGTGCCCCCATAAAGGTTCCCTGTGATTACTTGGTCTGTCTTCTACCTTGTGTTCCGTGGGAGAGAAGCCATGAATATGCTGCCCACCACTGAATTCCTAGGGTCTGAATTGCTGTGTGGCACGTGGTAAGTAGAATATTTTATAAATATGGCTTTTGAGACAGATGATGGATGGATGGATAGATGGAAGGATGGATGGATAGATGGAAGGATGAATGGATGGGTAGGGATAGAGATGGATGGAGGGATGGATAGATAAGTGGATGGCTGGGTGGACATTCTATAAACATTGCTGGCTGGCTGGATGGGCAGATGAATGGATGGATGACGGGTGGATGGATGGGTAGGTGGATGGGTAGGTGGATGGATGTGAGATGGTCACTTTACCTCTCTGAGCCTCAGTTTTCTCCTGCAAAACGGGGCTCCCCATCACCATTTCCTAGAGATATACACAGGCAAGAACGAAGCCCAGGCTGACTGGCAGCTGTAGGCCCAGCCCCGCCAGTGCCCACCGCCACTCCCACTCTTCTTCTGGTCCTTACGATATTTGCCAGATGCGAGCCACCCAGTGATGGCAATGGTGATGTGCAGCTGCCTGCCCTCTGCCAGAGGAAGGAATGTGAACTCTTCAATGGCCCCAACACGCTTCTTCATCTTGTATCCTAAAGGCCCAGGAATGAGAATGAGAATGGAGGGGGTGGGGCAGGGGTCAGAGTGGGGCAGAACAGAGACTGACTGTGTGCCCTGCCCTGGGAAAAATGCATGCTTTTTGTGAATTCTTTGAGGCAAGTGGCATTACTGTACCTGATTCCAGAGAAGAGTAAAAAGCTGCTGAGGGATAGGTGGGGATCTGCATCCGGGTCCTCACTACTACACTGTCCTGACTTGGTTGGATCTTCTTCATGCCTGTCCCTTCAGCATGTGAGCCACTGTCTTAGTGGGAGTGGGCTGAAGTGACCAGGGCTCTCAGCAGGGCAGTAGGATGGGATCTCTGTGTGACCAGGGGCCACAGACACAGGTGAGACAGTCAGTGAAGGGCAGCCATGCTCTGCCGAACCATGAGGAAGCATGCAGGTCTCTGAGGTACTTGCCTGTAAACCCACTATGTGGCGGCAGCAGGCTCACTTGGACTCTCTTGGGAAGCAGCCCAGGGAATATGGTGGGAGGGGACCCAGTCTCCCAAGCTCTGCCCTGGGCCATCCTGAGCTACTGGCCTGGTTCTTGTGAATCTGCTGCAGGTCTGGCAAGGCTGGGACCCAGAGTGCACAAACTCTGAGCTCCTGTGCCTCCCATGGAGCCATCCCAGGAGAGAACCTGGGTGTGTCTTTTAGGGTAGTCCATGCTGGTCGATCCTGCCCCCTAGTCCGTTTTGAACCTTACCTGTCAGGCCGGCTCCAGCTGCACCGAACAGCGAGGTCATGACAGCTATGCCAGCCACTGAGCCCAGGGCCGCTGCCCCAGCACTGCCAATGATTGTCGCAGCTCCAGCGGCAACAAGGGGGGCAGCAAGACCCCCAGTCACACCTGCAGGGAAAGCAGCCCATGGTGAGTGTAGGTGAGTTCTTGTCCTACCTGCTATCCACTGTCTTCCATGGAAGCTTCTAACAAGCTAAGAGCATATTTATCACTGATTGGCCACCTGTCCCTGCTGGGGCACCTCCCAGCCCACCCCCTGCACTCTCCCCTCATCCGAATCGAGATGTCTCTTGTTCTGCACGGTCCCAGTCCACATGCCACCATTCCCAGTTGGCTTTACCAAGCAATGTCCCGCCTCCAACAGTTGCCAGGCCTATCAGGAGATAACGCTTCCATTTCCTCCTGTTTTCTTTCTTCTTCCGGGAAGCCTGGGCAGTTCTGGGAGAGAAGAGGTTGGTCTTTAGGGCCACCTATGCCCTATGGTCCCCTGAGACCTCCCATCCTACCAACCCCTACACCGAGGTCAATGGTGGGCTGGAGCACCATCACACAGAGTAAGCTGCCCAAGTTACCCTGGGCACATTAGTGGTTTTAAAAAGCTGAAAATATTCTAAAACCCAGCTGGGGGATCTCAATATATGGGGTACACTACTTACCCAATGGATCCATCCTAACAAGGTTGCAATTTGAATAATGAAAAGACAAAAAATAATAATAGAATAATAACAAGAGGCACAGAAAATATCTTTCAATAGACAGACCCAGAATGACTACAAAATAGAACCCCAGATTCTGTTGCCTCCCTCCCCTTCCCTTGTCCCCCATCCTGCCGTTAGGTCCTTCCTCCTCTAGGACATGTGGAAACCAACTTCCTTCAGAAGAATCATTTTGAAGATAGGTTAGAGAAATGTCTACTTGGGAGACCCTGGCCTTGGTTGGAACAACAGCTAGACCCATTCAGACTCGAAATATAAATGCTACAAAATCTAGAAAAGGAAAGCACTCAGAGTGAACCAGGGTCAAGGGCATCCTGAGAGTGGCCTGAAGTCTGGGCACCCCATTTTCCTGTCAGACATTTATCTTTCAGCCACTTTGGGGCAATCAGGAGCAAGAGAGGTGAGGGCGGGACTAGTAGTCATTATGTGGGAATCTGAACGGGAGCTGGAGTTTGGACAACTCAATGCAGGGTGACAGCAGGGGCGCTGGTGATAATGAGTGATGGAAAATGGTTAATACTTACTGAGGGCTTCCTAATACCACCCACCGTGATGGGCACATCTCACGCTTTCTTTTATCTCATTCTAAGACAAAGTTTTATTGTGGTCTCCACCTTACAGATGAGTGAAGAGGTAACAGAGGTCACTGCCTGAGATCACTGGGTTCGAGGCAGAGAGTGTCTATAAAGCACACTTTCAAGTGTTTATGTAGTCATAAAGCTGTATCATCCTGAGCCCTAGTCTCCTCTTCTATAAAATGGAACCATAACATCTCCCTCGTAAGGTAGTTGCCTTGTGAAGATTAAATTAGTTCCCGCTCTGTCTATTCAGTCAATAAGCACTCCCCCTTTTGGTGGTACGGGAATTGAACCCAGGGCCTTTGCACTGAGCTAAATCTCTAGCCTTTTTCTTCCTTCTTTCTCCTCCTTTCTTCCTCTTCCTCACCCTCCTCCTCCTCCTTCTCTCTCTGTCTCTCCCTCTCTTTCTTTGTACTGAGGATTGAACCCAGGATGCTCTACCACTGAGCTACATCCGTAGCCCTTTTTATTTTGAGACAAGGTTTCGCTAAGTTGCCCAGGCTGGGTTCAAATTTGTGGCTCTCCTGCCTCAGCTTCCCAGAATGCTGGGCTTACAGGCATGCACAGTTGCATTCAGCTCAATCAATAAACTTTTATTGTGAATGCACACTGTGCTGGCACCTTGGGTGCTGCACTTGTGAGTAGCAGGTACCTGTGAGCAGAAAACCCATGTGCTTGACCCACATTTGCTTCCTTTGTGTCTCTTTCCTCACTGACTTCACCAAGAAAGGGATTTGAGTTCGGGGAGCTGCCATACTCTGTGGCTCTCTGCCAGTTCACTTCACTAGTTTTCTCCTGTGCAGCTCCTGGTCTAAAGCACAGCACTTCTAGGTTGCTTCACTTCAGAGAAGCAGAAACCAGCAATAAAACCTGTGTATACCATGAGTGCTGCTTATCTGTGATTCAGTTTTTTTCATTGCTGGGGATGGAACCTAGGGCCTTGTGTGTGCTAGACAAATGCTCTGTCACTGAGCTACACCCCCACCCCCATGATTGAAAAGGATTTCACATCCGGGCAACTTCACACATCCAGCTGACTGGAAGAGAGGAAAATGACTAAGAATGAGGGGTCTGACATGAGGACTTCACCTGCACAGGCATGATTTCTGCCATAGTATAGGTTGGACCGTCATTTACCAAATACCGACTTATCCCTCCCTATGGAAAGAGTATACAGTCCTCCCTCAGTATCTGTGAGATCAGTTCTAGGGCTCCCCATGTATACCAAAATCTATGGGTGTTCAAGTCCCCTATCTGAAATGGTGTAGCATTTGCTTATAACATACACATACCCTCCTATATACTTTAAATTATCTCTAGGTTACTGATAATGCCTGATACAATTCAAATTGTTATACTGTATTGTTTGGTGGGTAATGATAAGGAGAAAAAAATACTATACATATTCAATTATTTAATACTATATAGATCCAATTATTTAAAAACAGTCAATCTGTGGTTGATTGAATGTGAGGCTGTGGAACCTATAGCTATGGAGGAGCACTGTGCATCCCCACCTTCTAGAGTTGAGTGGTCATGTGACCAGCTTTAACCAATGAAATGTAGTTGGAAGGGATGTCCTTTCTGGTGACACCTTTAACAGCTATGTCTCCTTTTACTGTGACCAGAGACCAGCAATCTGGAACCCACAACCAGGACAGTACATATGGGAGTCATAGGCGATCTGCAATGGACATAGTATGAATGAGAACTAAGGCTCTGCTTTGTGAGCCACTGAGATTTGGGGGTCATTTGTTATAGCAGCAAACTCTACCTATTTTTAGAACCATTTATAACTTTGTGACTATGCATAGATACTTGTCACATCTGGGTTTCTACATCCAACAAATGAGAATAATAATAGTGTGCAATTCCACAGGTGTCGATGAGAATGAAATGAGATGATTCATATGACTGGCATATTATAATCATGGAATATTTTTGTTGCTATTATCATCCTTTTCATGATTACAATTTCCTTCTCAACAGTAGCTGATGATATATACTTTGACCCTTAATTGCATTGCTCCTTAATTGATGATCCTTAACTCAGTTCAAATAGGGAGGCTGGAAATTATTGGCTTTCAGCACAGCTCAAGGACTAAGAAAAAAATGCATGTTGACAGCACATAACAGGAGCACTCAAGGAGACCAGCAGCGTGGCTATGTGAGTCACCAGCGCCTTGACTTGACACACACCGACAGGGAAGTAGCTTGAGACTGTGGGAGAAGGGACTGGAGGCAGCTCTGCTGGCTCACCTGATTTTTCTGACCCTTGATTTCCTCATCTAGGAAAAGGAAATGGAAAATGACTTCCTAGGAGGATTATGAGACAGCGATGCCCCAGCAGCCAATGCCAAGTAGGAAAGTATAACCATGCCTGGCTGCCTGCCTCCCTTCTTTTCTTCTTGCTGCCCTCTGCCTTCAGATAGTGTCACCTCTCTATCGTGACACTCAGGACCTCTGGGTCCTGCCCCCTGCTTCCTCCAGCTTCATCTCTCATCATTTCCTAACTTATGCCTCATCCTGTAGAAACATGGAATCTCACAAGCACACTACCTCATGCCTGTGCCCCACCTAGCCTAGGCCCCCAAGGACCTTCTTACCTGCTTGTGTCTAGCTTGACATTACACATGCTTTAAGAGTCAGCTGATGTGTGGCACCTCCTACAGGAAGGTGCTCTGAGTCCCATGGCTGCCTAAATGCTCTGACTCTGGACACATGCAACTCTCTGTACCATGTTATCTTGAGACTCTAGTCCAGTGATTTTCATAGTGTGGGCCTCACCCAGGGGGCATCTGGGCATGAGTATCATGTGCATCTGTAACACATCCCTCCAGGGATTCTGCAGTATCCAAGGTTGAAAATTGCTAGGCTAAATCTTCAGGGCGCAGGCCAAGCTCTCTACCCTCCTTGGCTCTACATCCTGGGCCTGGAGAGCACTCAGGAAACGTTTCTCGAATAGAACTCAATTATTCCAGTGCTGGCTTTGGCAGCACATACACTAGGACCCAATTATTCCGGCAAGGACTGAAGGTGACCACTCTGCTGTAGAGACACAGTTCCCCATGCACTCTGAAAACCAGAGGGGCACAGAAAGGATATTCTGGCTAAACAAAAATATGTAGGCAGAGTATAGGACATCTGCCATGCAAATAGAAATTCTTGACATAATAGGACAAATCTGAAATGTCTGAGAATTTTTATGATTAATACAGATTTATTATTAAAAACTGAATCAAATTCCTGAGTTAGTGCCCTTGGCATTTTTGGGGACTGTCTGCTTCTAGATTGTTCGTACAATGATATCTGCACATTTAAGATAAGTGACAGTCATCACTTTTAGGTGAGTTTGATGGAAGGAAAGATTACAGCCTACAGTGAATAAAGTAACTACAAAATAAATTCTGTATGGTCCTCGCAGGGTGTGTGATTTAAATGCATGAGTTCCAGTATATCAAATCAACTTTACAAAAATTAGATGGATGGTATGCTCTCTCATCTCTACTAGGATTCTTTTTTAAAAATTGTTTTGCAGTGCTGGGGATGGAACCCAGGGCCTTACACATGCTAGGCAAGCCCTCTAATATTCTGCTTGTATTATTACTTAAATGTTTATAAACATTCGTTGATTTGAAAAAAAGGGCATTTTCCCCTAAAGGTACTTATTGAGGCACTCTCTCCTGACATTCACTCGAAGAGCTAATCTATTTCTCTATTTATGTAAGACTGCACATTCTTAGTAATTGTTTTCTACATAAAATGAATAGATTTTCCAGTCACTGTTAATTATCACAGCGTTTTACTCTCACAATTACTTCAGTTGATTGAATTGCAACCTCTAACGCCAGGAGATGTGTGCTCTGAGTCACATCTAGAATGCTCCCCTCTGCCTCAGAAGCACAGATTTAGATAATTCTGAACGCAAATGACAGCTCTGTCCCTGCTACAGACTTTGCCCTCTCTTTAGACACGTTGGCAATCCACAGCACCACACAGTCACACTCTGGAATGCCAGAAATGAAGCTGCGTTGCTGGTCCATGTTAGCCAAGGATGGTGGCTGAGGCTACGCTGCGGATTTGGGCCAGATCCCGAGCTGACACCAAAGACACCCCAAGAACAAAACAATTCTGCCCATGTTATGGGGCCGAAAAAATTTTTATTCACTGCCATCTGATCTCCCATGAGAGGGAGTTCACGATTCCTACCGTCCACACCACCACCTGCTGTTTTGCTTCTTCTTTGCCTTGCTGGTCACAGGACTCAGCTTTGTGAACCAGAGGCAAGCCCTCTGCACTGAGAGACATCCTAGCCCACCATCTGCACTTAAAAACTTAAAAAAAAATTTTTTTTCTTTTTCTGATGTTAACAAACAGGATGAGCTTGTCTCTGAGGTCTACAGATCCTTTCTTAATGAAAGCTAGATGGCCTCATAAAGAATTCTCTTCACTGCCTTCTTCAGAATTAAGGAGAGACCCTGGGATTGTCAACCAGGCCTTGAGGGATTCAGTAAATGATACCCAGACTGGACATCATGGCTGAATCATGATACCACCGACCAGAGGTGTGACATGCTGAGCAATGTCACCCGTCTGACTTCTTTCATCTGTGAAGCCCCCACAGGTGGTTATGAGGATCAGATACAGAGGCTTGTCCTTGCTTGTAGGCATTTGGTTCAAGTTAGAGGGTGACTACGTTACTCGGGACAAGCAGTGTTCACCTCCAGCAGCACCCCAGCTAATGCTTACTGCTGTGTGCCAGACGTGATGCCAAGGTTTAATGCATGTTAATTAGTCTAATCCTCTCAAAAACCTCTCATGTAGATGCTAACAGCACCCCCATGTTAGGGATGAAGAAACTGAGGCACAGACAGGCGCAGTCATGCAACAGATGAAAGATGCTTGGATGGTCTTAGGGCTCAGATGGGGACCAAGAAGGGTGGGGTGACACATCATACTCGAGATCCTAACTGCAAAGAAACACCTTAGATAAGCTCATCTCCTAAATCTATGGAATCTTAGAGTTAAAAGAAACCCACGTATAATTTGATCTTCTAATTGCATAGGTGAAAAAAACTGGTGCTGGTGCCCAGAGAGGGCAAGCAACCTGTCCACGGCCACAAGGAGAGTTAGCAGCAGAATCTAACTAAGAATCAAGTCTCCAGGCTGAACAGTTGCTGTGTGTTCTCTGGGTCTCAGATCCTTCTGGAGACCACAGACAGAATCTGAGTCTCCATGGTCCTTAAAACTATATATTTTTCTGGGGAAAAGGTTCATATATGCTAATATAATTGTAACAATACTGTTAACAGTAACAATAATGATATTTATGGAGTAGCTCTGCTGTCCCAGGCTCACTTGAAGTATTCTACATGTATGAGCTCATTGCAGCCCACAAGGACCCTATGAGAAGCATCTTATTATCATCCTCATTTTGCAAGTAAGGAAACTGAGGTCTGGGGAAGTTAAAAAAGATCACATACTTGGTAAAATATCATAGCCAGGCTTTGTTGGAACTTTTGCCTTACATCTGCCTTGATCAGGCATTACTGATGTTATCAAACAAATTCTCCCAGGTAATACATTTCTTTCTGATAGAAAGATTTCCAGGGGCCGGGGATTTAGCTCAGTGGTTCCACCACCTGCCTCGCAGGTGCAAGGACCCGAGTTCGATTCCCAGTACCAAAAAAAAAAAGATTTCCAAATAAGAATGGAGTTTCCTTAATTCCAAGGCATATAAGACCCTATAAATTTTCAATTCATCCAAAGAACTTGGGCAGCCCTTACGATTATGGTAATTTGCTCAGATCCAGGTATTTCTTTATTGACCCAGTTCTGGGATTCAAAACAGAAATGTTTTTGTTTGTTTGTTTGGTACCAGGGATCAAACTCAGGACCTTGTACTTTTGAGGCAGGCGAGGTGCCACTGGGCTAAATCCCCAGCCCTAAAGCAGGAATGTTTTTAGGTTATTTCCTTTTTTTTTTTTTTTTTTCGTCCTGGGGATCGAACTCGGATCCTTGTGCTTGTGCAGCAGGCAGCGAAACCACTGAGCTAAATCCCCAGCCCCTGTTTTTAGGTTACTTCAACAAATCACGTTTCCTCCTTTCCTAAGGTAATACCTTTCCTTTGCCTCAGAAAGCCTGGTGGCAGGAGGACAACTCTGGCTCTGATGTTGACTTTGGGATTAAATTTCCAGCTGGGCTCAAATGGTGTAACCTGGGTGCTCAAAGGAACCCATCACAGATGAGCAAAATACAGAGCTGGGCAGAGGTGCCTGGTGCCAGTAGCCTGAAAATAAGCTGTGACTGGGACTGATATATTGCCCTGAGATTAGATTCAGTGGAAGGCATATGTAATGAGCTTGCTCTGGCCAGCTAACAGGATAATTTCCCTCCATCTACCCTGACCATACACATTAGCAAAGCTCCTCTACAGAGGCTTGGGGCAGGTAGGGGAAGAGAAGATTTGTACCCACTGGCACTTGCTACATATCAGCCCTGGACTGATCATTTTATAATATGATCTCTTTCTAGCCGGGTGTGGTTGCGCACACCTGTGATCCGAGCAATCTTGGAGGCTGACACAGGAAGATCACAAGTTCGAGACCAACCTGGGTATCTTGGTGAGACCCTGTCTCAAAAAAGGGCTGGCAATGTAGCTCAGCTCAAAGGCCCTGAGTTTAATCGCCTGTACCAAAAAAAAAGAAAAAATAGAAAAAAAGAAAAAGACATCCCAAACAAATACAATCCCCTTCCTTTCTCCTAATGACCCTGGCAAGGTGCTATCCTTATACCCGTTTTGCAGATAGGAAGACTGCAGCTCTGAGAAAGGTCACCTGCCCAAAGTTAAACTACAGACAAGTGTAAGAACTCAGGTCACTTGAGTGACAGGGTATTGTAGGAGCCTGAGATGGAACAGGGTGTCAGGGCATGGGATGGATGTTAATATAGATTCACAGCCCTTAGCAATCATCCTGAACATGAGAGGCTTGGAGAGGGCAGGTGACTTGTCAAGGTCACACAGCCAGTCAGGGCTGCCGCTGAAACAATAATACTCCTTCGCCTCCCTGCCCCATCTCTCAACTGGGAAGGAAAATCCTCTTATTTCCAAGAGGAAATTCATGGTTCCCATCAAGGGTTGCAGGGCTCTTACTCAGATTCCTCCTCTTTGGTTTCCTTCAGGCTTTCAAGGAATGTCTCTTCAAGGACATCCAGTTCCTCCAAGGGCACTTGGAGCAGGGAGGTCATGTGGCAAACGAGGACTCTGGCCCGGGCATCATAGCGCCCTCAAAAGAGAAAAAGATGAGCAGAGAAATTAATTTAGGTTTTAAGCTCAGAGATGTTAACATCAGTTTAAAAATAACCTACAGACATGACCCCATAAAGCCAGTCAGTGAAACAACAGCACAGCTTTCTGGTAGAATACTGTGCAATTATCAAAAATGTTAACCAAAAGCCAGGTAGTATTTCCCACTAGTCAAATGAACAAAGATCAGTCTATTCAATCCTAGTGCTGAGAAGAAGATGATAAAAATGGATACTCAAAGATATCACTGATGGGAGTGTGCACTGGTACCAACTTTCCAGAAGAAAAATTTAGCAATGTGTTCACTTTTTAAAAAATATGCATCCCTTTTGCCCCAAGAATTCAATTTTTGAATTTGAATTTTAAAAATCCTTAATGTAAAGAATACTGTATTTAGTAAAGAGGGGCATTAAAGTAAATAAACCCTGCTTTTTAACATAAGTTGGAATAGTCTGGAGATTCCTAATATCAGGGAATGAATTAAATCAACTAGGTGCATCCGTCCCATGGAAAACCATGGAGCCATAATGAAATGATTCCCAAGGAAAGTTTGCCATAACTTTTGAAAAAAGATGCACACACAATAAAACAAATTGTAAAAGTGGATAGAAGACTGACTTGATAATATATCATAGGGTCCCAATTAAGGAAAACAAGATAAAACAAAACATAACACTTCATAGGATAAAAAGTGAAGGAAATATGTCACATATGGTGTGTGTGTGTGTGTGTGTGTGATACTAGGGACTGAACCCAGTGCTCCTGCACTGAGCTATATCCCCAGCTCTTTCTTGTTTCTTTTGAGGCAGGGTATTGCTAAGTCGTACATTGCCTAAGCAGGCCTCAAACTTGGCAATCCTCTTGCCTCAGCCTCCCAGAGTGCTGAGATTATAGTCATGCATCACCACACCTAGGAAGAGTGTGTGATTTTCTTTTCTTTTTCAAAATTACCTATAGTGAACTGTGAGTTAACTTTATAATTAAAAAAATGAATCTATCAAAATTTAACCAAACTTTAATTTTCTCGCTGAAAGCTGGTAAGAATGTTAACACCTGGTTAGTAAGGTGCATGTGCGGGGGGGGACTGAAAGAGGTCACATGAACCAACTGCACTGGAAGGGGCAGTACCACAATGGACAGCATCCTAAGCAAGGTGCCTGCTCATCTAAGACTGATTCCATCATCAGCTGAAGCGCTCAACCCCCTCCCAGCTGCCAGGCCATGGGCCCCTGTGTGGCACAAGGGACTCTCTGGGTCTCCTCTCGGGTGACCTCAGAACACAACACCCCCCCATCACCCAAGCTAGGGGCAGGGGGTCCCTGTCATCCCCTCTCACCCTCACATGCAATGTCCCCGAGTCTTTCAGATGTTACCTAACACCTTTCCTCCACTCATCTGGCCTCTTCCCATCTGCAAAGCTCCCACTTGGCTTAGTCCTGGGCCCTCTTCAGAGGACCCTGCCAAGCCACTCTGCACAGCCCCTCCCCCATCACACTGCTGCCTGCAGAGCTCAGTCCCTGGCACTGTGGGAATCAGTGCTCACCGGCTCCCACCCTTCCTCAGCACCATCCCTTGGCCCTGAGGCTCTCTGACTGGACAGTCTCAGTTTTAATCCCACCTCTGCTGTTTTCTACCTAAGGGGCCTTTATCCTCCTGATCCTGAGAAATAAATACATAGTACATACAGCAGTGTGCTGTGCAGGGTTAGCTGTATTAGTTTCCTACAGCTGCTATAACAAATACCAGACTTGATGGTTTAAGACAATGCAAATTATTATCTTTTAGGGCTGCAGCCAGGTGTCCTGAATCAAGGTGCTGGCAGGGCTGTGGGCCTCCTGGAGGTGCTGGAGGAGAATCCATTCCTTGGCTTTTCTAGCTTCTGGAGGCCACCACAGTCTCTTCTTCTGTCACCATGCCCCTTCTTTTCTCCTAACAAAGCCATGTGTTCCCCTGAGAACCAGGTCCCAGGAAAATGGTGAATGAGCTCCCCATCTCAAGATGCTTAACTCAGCTACAAAATCCTTTGCCATGTAGGGTAACAAAGTCGCAGTTTCTAGGAATTCATCTACGGAGATCTGTGTTTGTGTGTGTGTGTGGGGGGCATTATTCTATTACTGAAACCTTGCACTTGTATTTTCCCCCAAGATGAGGCTTAGCCATCCCTGTGAACCCTCTCTGGGTCAGTCCTTCCATGGGGTCTTGGGTCCCTTACAGAGACCTTTCTCCCTGCATCTTCCCTGTGTCATTGTCCTTGTCTGTGTCTTACTGAACCACAAGCTCACCCACCCGGGTGTCCAACCCCAGCACCCACCCAGGGTAAGGCACACACTAAGCCCTCCAAACGTGTGCCTATGAATGAACAAACTTCTGATTTTTACAACAAATTCTTTAAGACTCAAGTGTTGAATCTTTATGGCTTCCAAATTGGATCTCTTTGACAACGAGAAAAAGAGCCAGGACTTGGCATTCAGCTATTCCACATCAACCTTCATTGTGGGGGCGCTGTGAAGACACAAGCTGTTGAAAATGCTAAATTTCCAGTTCTAGCTGCCCATGAGACCCTAAGCTGAGAAACTTGCCCGAAGTGAGGTTTCCTGAGACCTGGCTTAGGGGAGCCCCCTTTCCCTGGCCACATGTTTCCTGTTCAACATGACTTAGCCCCCAAAGACTTAAATTGGAGGTTTCAGCAGAAGAAATCAATCAGATCCTTCCTTACCCAGGGTCCTCGGCAGCCTGTCAGCCTCATGGCCCAGCCACATTGCCTGGATGCCCTTGGTCACCTCCCCGGATGAAGTACTACGTGCTGAGGGACAGACAACTGCATATTGCATCTTGGGGTTACTGGGTTAATAAAACTTCTGTAGACAAAGCAGCTGCTTATTGCTTTGAAGGAACCAAGCCAGGTGATAATCGGGCAGTGGAAATCAAGGCTTGGCCATGATGATTAATGAGTAATTATAATTAGTGCTAATACATACTCCATTGGTCAAGGTTGCAGTGATTCAGCTCCTAGGACCCAGGGCCAGGTGCACAGGTGATTAATACTCCCGTGGTCAGGATGTCAGGCACAGCCTTGTGTAAGGGTCAGAGACCTTGGTGTGGGGCTTCTGGTTTTGGAGCTGAGCTTCTATTTAAGGAAGGTAGATGAGGTCATGGGTCCTGGGCTACCAAGGCCATGGGAGTTCTCTGGTCTCAGCTTTACTGTCAGCCTGCCAGGTGGCCAGTTCGCTCCCCAAGGGCATGCCTGTGTTGTCTCTATAACATGTGCCACATCCACCTGTTCACTCTGGGGCTCGGGCCAAAACCCTGGGCATTGTTCTTGATTCTCCTGGTGCCCCATCCTGATGTCCAATCTAGCAGCCCTCGTGGACAGTTGTACCTCCCAACTCCTATGTCTCCTCCCTCTACTGACACCACCTGCCACTTCCATTGCCACTTCCACTGCCACTGCCTGTCAACCTCCAGCAGCCATCCCACTGGTTTCTCATCTTTCATTCTGATCCCTGCACCTCATCTGCCTCAGAGATTCTTTAAGATCATCAATCTGACTGTGTTTTCTCCTTGGCTTAATAGAAGTCTCCAAAAGATCCCCAGTGCCCTTAAAAGAGAATCCACATTTCTTTCCTATGATCTCAAGACTACTTTACCTGGCTCCTTCCTGCTATCCTCTCTCAGCTCATCTTCAACCTGTGCCTGCTTTATGCACCAGCATCTGTCCTTCCAAGAACAAGTTCATGTCTGGCTCGAGGCCTTTGCACTTGCTGTTCTCCCTGCTTGGGAAGCACCTCCTACAGAGCTCTGCTGGCCTGGCCCTTTTCTGCCAGTCAGTCCTCAACTTAAATATCAACTCTCTGGTGAGGCCAGTGGTTCCTGAATTAGAGGATCCCATCCCGGGGTCCTCCTGTTCCCATCGTCCCCTTTCCCACCACCGAATTATGGCTGTTACTGCATGGCTCAGCAGTGTTAGTCCTATGGGGCAAGATCCTTGGTCTTGTTCCCTGTTGCCTCCTGGAGCCTGAGACAATGCTGAGTTAGTAGATGCATGGTTAAGATGTGCTGGCTCATTCACTGACCAACTTCTCCCTTGCCTGCAGGGTCCTCTGTGAAGCTCACTGCCCCAAGCAGCTCAAGCCCTTTCCCATTTCCCATCTCCTCCTGGGACCCCTCTGTTTTCAGTACCTTCAAAGTATTGCTCCCTGGGGACATGGGGCACGCTCTCCTTCTCTGAGTGGATCTTCTCTTCCCTTAAGTGCCAGAGCTGTCACTGCCTGGAACTCTGAGATCTGCTCATGGCTTAGTCCCCTCCTCAAAGGTCACCTCCTCTGCGAAGCCCTCCTTGGTCCTAAGCTTCCTGTCCCCTTGAGGGAGGGATTTCTTCTCATCTCCATTTCAAACTACACTGTTTTATTTGCCTATTTGTTTATGGTTTAGGCTCTTGAACGTAAGTTCCAAACTCATTTCACCTCCCCTGCACCTAGGTCAGTGCCTAAAACAAAGTGGAGGTTTAGCATCTTTGTAGGACTGAAAGATGAACCAGGAAATGAATGAATGAGTGAGTGAGTGTATGAATGGACCTCCACTGGGAGAAGTCCAAAATACGGAGGATAATGATGCTGGATGAGCTTCACATCCCCTTTCAGCAGAAACCTCCTATGATCCGTAATCATTCTACTCCGGAAGCTTCATTTATGTACTTCGGTTACTCCTGGACCAGCTTCTGTGCTGCTCCCTCTCTGTGTCCCTGATGCAGAGTATCTGGAGTCCTCCAGCCACTAGGGAGGCAGATATTGGGAATCACTGTGGCTTAGCAAAGAGGAAAGGGGTGCAGAAGCTCTGGGACTTGCCCAGATTCACCCAGCTGGTGAGGAGCGAAATGGGCAGTCAGCTGGAGAGGCTGTGTTCTGAACCTCACAGGTGACATGAGAACCAAGGCCAGGAGATAGCAGGACACTGTCTTGCAGACCTGCATGTTTCTCCCAA